TCACTGCCAGAGACTCAAGGTGACTCTCTAAGACAGGATAAAACTGCCCCTGTGGGTTTCTGGTACTCTAACTCCTTACAGGAGGCGAAAGCCTCGTCTTTCTCCAGTGGGGCAGCTGGTGGTTTCAAACTGCTGACCTTTTGGGTAGCAGTCCAAAGCATGACCCACTAACACCATTTATAAGGAGATCGAAATACTTTTATTATGTTCAATTTCATTGTAATTCTTAGAATCCTCTATAATGTTCCACCTGACCTTTTCGAGAGGCTAAGCAGAGAAGAAAGAACACCTTAATGTTCTGTTCCATTTCATTCCAACAACTTTACGGCACGTACTTTCTGGGACCACCATTCTGAAGGAGAAAATCGACCCTTAAGTTAAACTACTTGACAAAGACAAAACCGCTAATAACCCCAAAACCCCTGCTCTTAACCAATGCAGAGTGTCTAGTGCTGGGAGGCGGGGAAAAGACAACAAACTCTGACCGCAAGCCATGTAGGATTCTAATATAGCCTTATCCTTAATAATCACTGACTTTCTTGGCACTCTTCCCTCTGGTAGGAGCGTATTATATTTACTTTTACAGGCTACTCAAAAAAAATCCCATTTGCCTGAGACATTTAATGAGAAAATTAGCTTGTAAAGTTTACATGAGATTTAACTACTTTGAAGAAAAACATAACATGTAATGTACAAAGGTCTTTAGAGGTTGATATTCTGTTCAACCACATTTCAAAGAAGGAACCTAGGTTCAGCCACTTCTCTTGTGTAACTTAAATTAAATTTAGGCAGAAACTGAACTCATTTTGTCATTCCTAACCAACAGCGACCCAATGAGAAAATGATATATACAAATCAATGCATGTGTGAGTATAATATCCGAATTAAAAATCATTTTTCAATAATACCGATTATCTAGAAGACAAATACTAAAAAGTAAAAAAGATATGTGAAAAATCAAATTAGTGAGAAAACAAATTTTCAAAACCTAAGATGTATTTAATTCCACTGGAAAGTCATTAGAACTCAGATTGAGAAAAAAAAAATCAGCAAGCAGGAAATTAAGATGGGGAAAATGATAAAGATAACGGTAATAAAATATTTGTAACATTGAGGCTGGAATACTACACACACACACACACACAGTAAAAAGTCATTTGGGGGGCGGGGGGAGAGAAAAGAAAATCCCTGGTGTACAAACCACAGGAGTAATGAATTATTATGTTAATTTATTTGAATATGAATATTTACTGATTGGTTATGTGCCAGGCATATATACTAAGCACTGGGGCATACAATAATGAAAAAAAATAGATACAAATCCCATCTCACAGAACTAATGTCCTGGTAGAAAATGTGGACAATGAGGAGACAAAAGTAATGTATAGCAAGAAGTAATGACTGCTTTGAAGAAAAATAAAGCAGCATAAAGTGACAAGATTAGTATTAAACATAATTTGAAGAATTAGTCTGAAGAGATTTACGTTGTATTTTATTTATTTATTTATAAATCTGAAGAGATTTTCAACACAGGATCTTTCACTAAGTAGAGTTCTCCCCCTAGTGGAACTTGAAAATAAGCATACTTTCAGTACAAGAAAAAAATAGACTTTATTATTCTTATAATTGAAAAAGAAGTATAAGGTTTTAGCAAAAGAATTGTTCATGGATCTTGGTCTGCATTTAATGAATGAAAACCAAACCATTCATGTATCCACTAAATGTATTAATAAAAATTACCCAGTGAATACTTCTATGTCCTGAAGTAAAAGCAAAAGGCCAAGGGGTCTGGAAAAACAGCATTTCAGGAAGAAATAGCAGCATGAAGAACAGTACAAAAATTTCAAGGAATCGGAAAGTTTCAAGCACAGAAAAAAAGACACAAGACGGTACGTAGCAGAGAGTGTGTGTGGGTATGTAAGGCAGGGAAGTCATGACAGAAATGAAGCTCAAAGTGCAGGGCTGGGCCACAGTGAAAGCCTATCTATGTGATTTGGTAAATAAAAGTAGGGATAACACTCTAAGTTTTTATGGCTTACAATGATAACTCTGGTAGCTCTGTGAAGGAACTGAGACTGGAAAAAGGAAATTGGGTGGAAGAAAATTGCTGCTATAGCTCAGGGGACAGTGCAGAATGAAAATGTGAGGGGAATACAAATGATCAAGGATTTTTAAAGTTTCTGAAAGGGTTACAATCATCTTTTAATTTTAGACTTACTTAAGATTTCTCCCTTTAAAAGGAACTAAAGAGTTGATTTTAAATTATATGATTTACCAAGAATTATATGAAGGCAAATCCAAGTGATTAAGTGACCACATAGAAGGTTAGAGACCCTATAAATTGGTTTAAGCACTTTGGAAAATAATTTGGTATTTTCTAGTCAAGATGAAAATGTCCATACTTTATATATTCTTGCCCTGTGCCAAGGGGTAAAAAATAAAAGTGGAATTCCTATAAGATTGAACAATGTCATAAGAGAGAACACTAATCAAGATAGGTGATTTTTTAAAAAAAGAAGGAAAACATTTTGTATGGAATAAGAACGTGTATGATTTCTATTCATCTGAAACAAAAAGGATAAGTCACAGTGGGTCAAGGTATAGGCAAAACAGCACTACTAAATGAGAAACCACATCTATAAGGAAAAGACAGACAACCTGATAGAACAAATCGAACAGAAGAGTTTAACAGGTGGCTTCACAAAGCGGGAAATGCAAATGGACCACTTCATCAGTAATTAAGTAAATGGAAATTAAGACCTTGATGAAGGATCACTACATACCCACCAGACTGGCAAAAATGTAAAGATCTGATACCACCAAGTGTTGGGGTGGATGTGGAACATTCCTACATAACAGTTGAGAGTTTACATTGGTACAAGCACTCTGGAAAATAAAGAGCTGAAGATTTGCATGTCCTGTGACCCAGCAATTCCACACAGTGGTGTGTTTGCTAGAGAAATCTATACACACATGGTCAGAATACTGTAGAGGAAATGCTTACCATCACAGCGCTGTTCATAATAGCCCTACCCTGGAAAATTCCAAATGTCAGTAAGTAAGCGAATGGGCAAATACATTACGATATATTCAAATGACAGAGCATTGCACAACGATAAAATGGTGACTCTTAGAACAAAGGCAGAAGAGAGGTGAAAGAAACTATTCGATGTGTTTGTATAAAATTCAGAAATATGAAAAATAAAACTATATGTCTCAAACATGCATGCAAAGATGAGACAACTACAAGGAAAAGCAACAAAGCGATTCCTACAAAAGCCAGGGTAAGGGAGCAGAGTACAATTGGGTAGGCTACTGAAGTCTCTAGTTCTGGACAGTCAACAGATGGGTAATAACTTCATAAACATCATACCGTACTATTGTTTAATGGACTTCTCTGGGGGTTTTTTTAGGTTAAAAAAAGTATTGGTCAGAGGAAACAGGCTCGAGACAAATTGAGATTCACTGTTGTAAAGATGCCTACAAAGTCACATAAGTAAGAACCTTCATTCAGGAAGTTATTTTAAAAGCCCCAAACTTGGATTTTCTAGGAAATACAAACATTTGTAACTGATAAAGATGACTGACAACAGCAAAACTAGACGAGATCTAAAGTGAGTGTTAAGAAAGCCAGAGGAGGAGAGAATTCAATCACAATGCAGGCCCTATTTCAACCAGGGTGAACGCTCAACGAAGACCACTGATTTGGTAATTACAATTCTAGTGATCAATTTATTGAAAGTCAACTGCTGTTAACATATTCCTGGAGAGTAAAAATTCAAAGCATTTTCTTTTCTAATTTTCAAAAATTGTGTGGCATGTTAAATTTCATTAAAAAACAAACAAAAACAAAGCAGGCCAATATTTCAGACTTAACAACAAAAAGAAAAAAACTATTTTCTGTATTTAGTGACAAGAATGCAAAAATATGTGGTAAAATTTTATGATTTTCTTTATATTAGAAAAGTTCAGGGAGATATGGTGGGAGGGAGGGGATAAAGGGGAACTAATATCAAGGAGTTCAAGAAGAAAATGTTTTGAAAGCAATTGTGGTAGCAATTGTACAATATTGTTTGATATGACTGAACTATGGAATGTTATGATATCTGTATGTGCGCCCAATAAAACGATTTTTTTTAAAGTACAGAAAACTAAAATTAGAACTGTATTTAAAATAAACCAAGCCAAACCCACTGCTATCATGTTGACTCTGACTCATAATGACCCTGGTATGAGGTTTCTGAGACTTGCAGATCTTTATGGGAGCAGACAGCCTCCATTTTCTCCCATTAACAGCAGGGTGGACTTGAACTGCTAACCTTGTAGCTAGCAGTGCAATGCTTACCTGACAATATGATGATGTAAACAGTTGATTATAAATGTATTATTTTGTCTGTCTTTCCTAAGTTTTTCTGCATCTGTGCTACTTCATGAGAAAGATTACCAACAAAACAAAAAGAATGCTTTTTGGTGGTAAACACTTATTAAAATCATAATGTGCTGATTACTTTTAATCCAGATTAAAACTTATAATACACAAGTTTTAGAAATTAAATGAATCTTTAGATGAAATGTAAGGGCAAGGAGCCATTTCAGGAAGAAATGTTACAAAAACGATGTGACTTGGGGAAAAAATAGTAAAACCCTCTTTAAAACATAAAATTTTGAACATACTATTTAAGCACACATAAGAAACACTACCTTATCATATTGTACCACAGAAGTACTAAAAATGATTCCGTCATTGGGATGAAGATAGAATGGCAGCAGGGAAGGCGTCGTGGGAAGGAGAAACCATCTTATTACTTCTAAATATACTTTGTTAGTCTGGTTACACACTGGGCTGCAATCCTCAGGGTCAGCAGTTCAAAACCACTAGGTGCTCTGAAGGAGAAAGACTGGGCTTTCTACTCCCTAAGAGTTGCAGAGTTGGAAAGCTCCAGGGGGGGTTAGCATTGACTTGCAGTGTGAGCTAGCTGTCTGCTATTCTCATAGGATACCTGGATTTCAAGCTCTGCAATGTGTTGCTGTAGTTCAGCCACAGCAGCTATGCTGTCTGCTTCTCGAAGTCTCACCGCCATCACCTCTTCCTTGTTCTGAGTGGCAAACAAAACAAAATAATAATCAACACTCATAGGTAAGATCATGAAATATGCACACGTATAACACATCCTAATTCAGAACATGACAACACGACCTATTGTTAACTGGGAAAATTAAAAACATCAATATAAAATGAAGAATATGGAATGGAATTTCATTTTTAAGTAGCGACACCATTTCATATAAACAAACCTTGCTCAAAATGTTGAAATAAAAATCATTTAATTGAAATTAACTTATGAATGGGAAAGCTGCTAACATTTTATGTAAAAACACTTACTGAGTGCTCTCAGAAAATTAAGTCAGTAGGATGAACAGGTTAACAGTGAGTATAATATTAAAGGTATGTTAGCTGAATAGTGTTTAAAAGAACATTATACCCTTTCTAGTGTAATACATGCTATCAGTATTTAAATGGGGAAATAATAGAAATTAGACTATATTGTCATTTTAACATTTCTAGGAAAAGCAGATTACCATCTCAAGTATGACAGTAATATTCAATTTCAAACAAATACTGCTTTGAATACCTCCCCATATGGCATATGGCCAGAATATGTATTCCTTTGTACCCGGTGGTGTGCTAGTAAATGTTCAACTACTGGTTCTCATATGTATGTGTGCATATGTACATATAGTTTGTGTACATAAGCTTGTTATAAATTTTAATGTAAACTAAAATCAAGGATGTATAGTACACAATGTAAGCAACTGTACATATACAATAACCCATTGTTTTAAATTCCATATAGTCAATATACTCTCACAGAATGTTTTCATTAATTTTTGCCTGGATTAGTGAAGTTTTAACATGAATGCTGGTGGATAGTTTCATGTTTGAGAGAAGATTAAAGTGCAGCAAGGTAGATTCAGGTTAGAATTTAATGTTTTTTGTCCATGATATGAGCAACTTTTCTGCTGAATTGGATAACAATAATCAAATATTGGAAGACTATTTCCTTAATATTTTTAAACTATCTATAATGTATAGGCTAAAGATCCAATACTTTTAAGTTATAATATACGTTAGCACTTTATTTAAACTTTAGGTCTACAGCAAGGATTAGCAAATGTTTTAATGTTGCAAATAGTAATTTTCAGGCTTGTGATTCATGCAGTTTGCCACAGATACTCTATTTGGCATAGACAATTCTTAAATGAATGAGCATGGGTGTTATCCCAGTAAAATTGTATGTACTAACTCAGGAGGCCAACTGTGATTTGGGCTATGGGCTAGTTTGCTGGTCCTTGATCTAGACAATCCACAAAACAATCAGTCAAGTCCTACTGTGGAGAGTCTGCCAATGTATGCTGTGTAAATACCAACACCTTGCCTTTTCCAAGTTACTGACGTATCACAGTCGGAACTCTGTGCTTCAAATGAAGGTGGAGTTGGGAAGAGAAGTGCACAAGCACATGTTTAGATAGGATTCCCATCATACAGATATAAGTTATCAACTCAGGAACACAGATAATAGAAAAATGTGATAAAAACAATTAGGAAATGGAGCTTTTAGTATTTATTACCTTTGTGGTGCTATATTTTAATTATGAGTTACATAACTTAATTTCTAATATGGCTATTAACAATTATGTCTCAAAATTCCTATAATTTAATGGGCATCTCTTACAAGTCTTTATTAGCTGATTCCAGAGCATACAACTAGGTTTACTTTAAATAAAATTTAAATCCCATCCTGACACTCCTCTATTCTGAACACTTCAATGTCTCTCCACTGAGTTTAAGACAATGTTCCAAGTCCTCGCACTGGAGTCTCAGATTCTGTGAGATCTGTTCCCTGTTGCTTGTGCTAGCTTTTCAGCATTCACCACACTGCCCACCCCACAGTCTGCAAGAATGAACTTCATTTAGTTCAAACAACCTGGTGCTTGTTCTCAGTCCCGCATCTTCACAAATGCTGTTCCCTATGCCTAGTGAATTCTCTGCTGCAGTTCCTTGACTAACAATCTCAGCTTAGGTATAATTTCTTACTCAGCCTTCCGTGAACCATTACCTTAACTCTATCTCTGATTACAGTGTCTTGAGCCTCCAGATCACAGTACTCCTACAATGCATAATTGTGTTTTGTTACGCATGGTGTTTACTAACATTTAAGCCCCGTGAGGGCAAGAGATGTCACCAAGAGGCAGCAGCAACCTTTCAGATAGCTGCAAACCTGGCTAATACCTGATCACAACCTCATCAAGGACTCTTACCAGTACAACTTTGCTAAGCTGCTAGTGAATTTCTGACCCACAGCAATAGTGTGCTATCAATGATTGTTGATATTTTAAGTCCCTAAGCTTGTGGGCTTGTTACCTCATGCTAGGTAACTGATACGTTTATGCTCTAATGCTTCTGAGTGCTGTTGCTAGGTGCTGCCAAGCTGGTGCCAACTCACTGCGACCCTATGTACAACTGAACAAAGCACGGCCAGTCACACGTCAGCCTTACAATTGTCCTGAAGTGTGAACCCATGACTTTTGGTTAGCACTGTGTGAGGAGAGATTAAATAAATCACATAAAAATACAACAGAAAAAATATCGAGTATTGTGTAATTTTTCCTAATCTTTCCCCTCTCCAAACTAAGCATTAAGATTTCCTACCTGGTTTTAATATACATATACAAGTGTTTGATAGGCTTTCACCTAAAAGTAGAGCTTAATTCCCCTCCCCTTGGGCTACGAGCATGCCTTAGTAATTCACCTATAATGAATAGAGTATGGCGAAGGAAAGTACAACTCTGTAATGGGGAAACTTGGCACCAACATCCAGGCCAGTATCACAGGTAATAAGATATTAACATCCCGTGCCTCTCTGACACGACATGCTAAGAAGGGCACACAACTTCTGTAGTCTTCTCCAAATCAATACGCTTGGTCTAACCATGGGAAGGCACTGAAGAGACCCAAATTGAGGAATATTTTACAAAACATTTGACTAGTACACTTTAATAGACAAAGTAAGGAAAAACAAGAAAACACCAAGAAACAGTCCCAGATCACAGGAGGCTAAGGAGACATGGTAAGGCACGGGGACACCCCAATAAGGCCTGCCGCCTTGTGGCGGGCTGAACCATGCCTATGCGGTTTGGCAACACCAGGAGCAGCGGGGTGAAGAGCACCCAGGAACACTACTATCTTTGCCACTTTTCTGTAAACACGGATTTATCTCAGAACAAAACGAAAACCCATCCTATAACAAATACAGCAATATAGAAAGGAAAAAATTACCACACATCACATTGTGCTGCTTTTCTACTTAAAACCTTTACAGGGCCTCGGCACTGAAGAGTAAAACCCCAGTTCCATTCCCCGGCTCCAAGGATCTACACGGGAGGAAAAAATGGCATTCTAGAATCAGCAACCACTCTTTCCTGCTTTGGGGCCTTGAACTTTGTGACCCTTCTCTGACCAGGATCTTCCTCTAGCATTTCAGATGGCTAGTTCTTGCTCCTGCTTCAGGTCTCAGCTCAGACACCACACCACTAGACACGTGATCTAAATTTGTACCTACTCTTACCTCTGTTCTACAGACATCATCCTTTATCACTGATTCATAGCAGCTACAAAGGACACAGTAGAAGGTAAGTTTTTCCAGGAGGAGAAAGCCTCATATTTTTCCTGAGGAAGAGCTGGTAGTTTTGAACTGCTAACCTTGCAGTTAGTAACCTAATGCATAACTCCTTATGCCACCAGGTTCCCCTATGAGGCAGAATTGATACTCTGGCAGTGAGAGTTTGAGTTATATCATTGATACATAGGATGATGTGTATTATTTGTTCCTAGCCTTCACCTCAATTAGTAATCTTTATTTTTATCTATTGCCTCACTAAGCATTATGCTCCTCTTCATTACTGTATTATTACTGCTGACAAAAGTATCGAACAAATAAAAAAAATTCAGTAGGGAAGTAATAAGGCCCACATGGAAAAAGCACACCAGTCTGTGTGATCATGAGGTGTTGACAGGAGTGGGTATCAGCCATCAGAAAACCCAAAACAAACAATCATATCAATGCAAATGAGGGGGGTCAGAATGGAGTCCCAAAGCCCATCTGTAGACAATTGGACATCCTCTCACAGAAGGGTCACAAGGAAGAGACGAGTTAGCCAGGGTGCAGTATAGCATGTATGAAACACACAACATTCCTCTAGTTCTTTAATGCTTCCTCCTCTCCCCACAATCAGGACCCAAGTTCTACTTTACAAACCCAGCTAGACCGATGCATATACAGTGGTACAGATAAGAGCTTTAGACACACAGAATTCAAGACAGATAACCCTCTCAGGAACAATAATGGAAGTAGAGATACCATGAGGGTAGGGAGAAAGTGGGAGGAGGAGGAGAATGGGGAAATTGATAACTATGATTTATAAGACCCCCTCCCCAAGGGGAATGAACAGAAACATGGGTGACGGGAGACAGCAGTCCTCATAAGGCATGAAAACAAAAATAATTTATAATTTATCAAGGAGTCACAAGAGTGGGAGGGG